GCATTATCTTTGTAGGGAACCCCTGATGACCCATCCCGTAATCCTGGGGTTCCACAGAACACAGTTTGAAAACTATTGCTTTAGAAAATGTTGTCACTTTATGTCGAACAACAGGTTTAAAATATGCCTCTTTAAACTAATGTATAACTTACAAACTGCTTTATGTTATGATAGTTTTATACATTTGATACAAGACAGCAGGTTTAAAAGATATGCCTCTTTACAATAATGTATAACTTTATGCTAGGATAGTGGTGTTGAAAGTTTTTCACTCCATCGTGAATCAAAATCTTGTAAAATGCTTTTTGACCATTAGAAGTATATATATGGATGTACTACAGTATATGGTCTATAGAAATGAAGTTCACAGAATGTAGATAAATTTATCCATAAAGCTGTAAAAAACAAATTTGAAAATATACAATTTCTAACTGGAAGACTTCCATATGGTTGTGACTGAATGTGGAGAGAAATATGCTAGAAACATTTCCATGTTAAATACAAATCATGAGAAATTGGATTTACATTGTATTGACATGACAACAATGATGTATTCTGTGTATCAAATACATACAAATTCTTGCAGCCTGTTACTCAGTGGTCAACAGCGAACGTTGTGGAATGGATGGCTGCCTTAAACTTGTACCACTATGCGGAACTTTTCAAGTTCAAAAACATAAAAGGGTCAGATCTGTTCTCACTGGATAAAGAAAAATTACTTGTAAGTTGAAAAACTGTTGTTTGTTATCTATTGATGTGATAAAAATATTATTGGCTGAATTTATAATTAATAAGTGATTCTTATAAAAATAAAATCATTGTTTTTTTAAATAAAAGACTGTTCAACAATTTTTGGGCTCATTTGAAAATATGGTTAATTTTTAATTAGTTTAAGTTAAAAATTTGGAATTTTTTTTTTACATTAGTAAAAAAAAGTTTTTAAATAAATTTGTAAAATGTTTGTTTTAGGGATCTTATTGGTAATCTGTATCTTCTTAAAGTAACATTTACAACCTGGCAGTAGTTATTTATGGCTTCTTCTGTTCATTGAAAATTAGTAGAAGTTTTCCATAAAAATTTAGGAATAATTTTCCATCATAAACAGTTTATTAGTATAGAAACAGATATAAAAAAATGTTTGAAATATGCATCTGGTAAAGTTATACAAATTAAATTCAACTTTAGAGATATTGAAAGAGGAAATAATTCCATTGCCTTTTTTCATGTGTTTTTAATTTGAACAACTGGAAATAGTTAAGAAGTGAAATAAACTTGTAAAATAATTTTATGGGTTTTGATGAAGGAAAAAAAAGATGAAAAGTAAAAGTTGTCTTTATTTTAAGCTCTTGGTTTCTATTTTAAGATAATATTATTTAGAATTAAATATTTGGTCCAAGTGTCTAGATGTTCATAATTTCCACAAAAATGCTTCAGTCAGCTTGGATGAAAAGCACTGTTTTAAATGATGACAACAAACTGTTCTAAATATTCTGAATGAGATATTAGGTAAAAACACTAAGTCACTTCTTGGAAAGATAATATTTTGTAGTTTATTATCATTTGAAAAGTTTTATTTTATCTTCTGTTCCTATTGATAACCCTTAACTTTCTCTATATTCATCTTTACACTGATTGATGATATCTTTAATATTATAGATGTCTGATCACTGTGTGCTAAGTGCTTTAGGTATGAATATTCTGAAAATTGTGAGTTAAAGGAAATGTTATTGGAATAATTTTTCTACTCAAAATTAAAAAATCAGAGACATTTTGTTTCTATGGTGTAAATGTAATATTGTGACTTCACGTGTGTTTATTGTTAGAACATGGGTATCAAGGATGAATTCCATCAAAAAGCAATCCTTGTTTGTATAGAAGAACTCTGCAGAGCTAAGAAGGAACTGGTGAGTATTATATTAGAAGTTTTGTGGGAACAGTTAATTATTGTGTCTTTCAAGTCAGTTTGTAATTTCTTTTCTCCAAAGCTTAAATATTGTTTTGTGTGTAACACGGGTTTGTTTGTATTACAATCCATATTTATATGAAAATTTAAATAACATACCAAACACAAAACTTTCTAAACGATAGACCAAACACAAAACTTTCTAAATGATAGAGCAAACACAAAACTCTCTAAATGATGGACTGAACACAAAACTCTCTAAATGATGGACTGAACACAAAACTCTCTAAATGATGGACTGAACACAAAACGCTAAATGATGGACCGAACACAAAACTCTAAATGATGGACTAAACACAAAACCCTCTAAATGATAACTAAACACAAATCTCTAACTGATGGTCTAAACACAAAACTCTCTAAATGATAACTAAACATAAAACTCAAAATGATGGACTAAACACAAAACCCTCTAAATGATACACTAAATAAAAAACTAAGTGATGGACTAAACAAAAAACTCTCTAAGTGATGGACTAAACACAAAACTCTCTAAATGATAGACTAAACACAAAACTCTAAATGATAAACTAAACACAAAACTCTCTAAGTGATAGACTAAACAAAAAATTCTCTAAGTGATAGACTAAACAAAAAACTGTCTAAGTGACAGACTAAACACAAACCTCTCTTAAGTGATGGACTAAACACAAAACTCTCTAAGTGATGGACTAAACACAAAACTCTCTAAATTATGGACCAAACACAAAACTCTCTAAATGATGGACTAAACACAAACCTCTCTTGAGTGATGGACTAAACACAAAACTCTCTAAATGATAGACTAAACACAAAACTGTCTAAATTATGGACCAAACATAAAACTCTCTAAATTATGGACCAAACACAAAACTCTCTAAATGATAGACTAAACACAAAACTTTCTAAATGATAGACTAAACTCAAAACTTTCTAAATTGTCTTTCATCTAGTTTTAATTCTTGCTTACAAGTTTGGGTTCTTTTGTAGCAAAGAACTTTCCTCTAATTATTAACTATCCTTTCAAATAACTTAGTTTATCAAGAGGATTGTTTAAGGAGTGTCAGCAAAAACTAATTATGTGTATTAATAATTCTTTAATTAATAGTTCTTTTTGTAGATGTGTAAGTGTACACGTTTGTTGTGATAAAAGTGTGTCATGCATGTGTTTCAGTTTTAAAAGTGAGTTTCTCTCGATTCAGGATTTCAACACTCATTAAAAACTATTTCTTAATTCCTTTATTTAAGATCAAAACTTATTCACACCATATTATGATAATTTAGTTTTGATTTTATTCTTATAGGGTTCAGTTGAAGAAACCCCTAATCTTTCTGACACCTTTTGTAATAGGAATGACGGTAAGGTTCCTAATGTTTTTTTGTTTTTATTCTTCTTAATATTGAAACTTGTGATGACAGATGTGTTATTTGCACATATATTTCTCTCCAACAAAATGGTTTTTAATTTTTACTCGAATCCTGCAAATGAAACTCACTCAAGGAAGTAACTAACAACTCTGGTTGAATAAGCATATAGAGAGATTAGAACTTTCATATTAGCCAGTACAGGATCTGAACCCTTTCTCTGTATTATAGATTTAACATATCATTTACAAATAATAGTATTAACTATGAACTAACAGCAAAATATATGAAATTTATCTTTTGCATTATAGAAAGTATTCTTTATTGGATAACATATTGATGTGACTTCAGAAAATTAAATGAAAGATGGGACTTTGTTTATAGTTTATTGTTGGTCAAACAGTTGGTTTAATTAAGAAAAGGTTCTACAAAGTTTAAGTCTTTTTTGTTTATGAACAAATTCATTTCTCCAGCTTCATTTTCCAGACAAATTTAATAAACTACATTCAATTTATCAAACATGGTAAAAAATTAAATATTTTCTTTTCTATCATAAGATGTTTTATACTTGTTTTCTCAAGTTCTGGTATGAATATAAAAACAGTTTTGTATGAACAAGATTAAGTAATAAACATTTTTGAAATTATTATAAGTTTAAAATAATACAAATATTTGAATTTCTTTGCAATTTTAAATAACAAAACTATTTGAATTTCTTTGCTAGTTTAAATAATGATAATAATATAAATTTTGTAATATCTTTAAAAGTTTAAGTAGTAAAAAGTTTGGATCATATCTTGATTAGTTTAAACAATAAAAAGTGTGTAATTTATTTGTTATTAGAATCACCACAAGGGTCTCATCAGCTACTCCAGGAAAGCTTCTCCACCTTGCTTCAATGCCACAAATGTCATGCTTATCTAAGAGGAATTGTTCATCAAGGTCTTGTATGTCAAGGTTAGTGACCCCTGGGACAGAACCTTATGAGATGTAGCATTAATACAAAGTTTAACTTTCCTCTGTAACTGTTTGTTTAAACAACTATCCAAGAAGATGTGTACTTATCTGAAATAAGTAAACTTTGAAAAGTTTGAAGGGGAATACCGTTTCTGTATAGTGCTACAGAACTCCAAGCTTCCATGTCAGTATTCTGTGGAGGGTGGGGACATGTATGTGTCCATAGTAGTGGAAAAGTCAACATTATCTTTGATTGCTGGATTTTTGTGTGTTCATAAAATTATTGTGAATATAATTGATGTTTAGATTGAGTAAGGTCACAGTGTGCAAGTTTACAAGATTTAAATGTTAAATAAAAATGCTAAAACCATACATTTTTTTTATTTGTAATGACCTTCCATCCATTACCCATATATCATGGTATAGCAACTAACTATAAAAATATGTTTTGATTTTTGACAAAAAAAATATATTTTTTTGTTATTTAAATTAAAATAAGTGTTATTTTCTTTGTTGTTTACCCCAATGTGTTGTTTATATTAAAATAAATGTTATTTTCTTTGTTGTTATTTACCCCAATGTGTTGTTTAAATTAAAATAAATGTTATTTTCTTTGTTGTTATTTACCCCAATGAGTTATTTAAATTAAAATAAATGTTATTTTCTTTGTTGTTATTTACCCTAATGTGTTACTTAAATTAAAATAAATGTTATTTTCTTCTGTTGTTATTTACCCCAATGAGTTATTTAAATTAAAATAAATGTTATTTTCTTTGTTGTTATTTACCCTAATGTGTTACTTAAATTAAAAACAAACTTATTTGTAATTTCTATATTCATGTGTGGTTCTAGTTTGATGGTTTTTTGACTTACAAGATCTTACACAGAGAAATTATACCTTTGTGTTTTTGGCAATTAGGATGCAGAATAAGATTAGCATGAATAAAATAAAATATTTTTTTTTAAATATCTAATTCCAGAAATTTTGTCAAATCATTTTTTTAAAATCAGGACAGCCTAATAAAACATTTGAAGAAAGAAGGCATTAGGGATAAAACAATATATGAAGAAAGGACCTCAAATGTGTTAACATCTATTTGTAAATTGAGTGGTAGTTTTATGTAGTTTATTTGGATATGCTGTCTGCATTTCATTAATGTTGAAGTTCAATTGACTTGTTTCAGAGTGTGGGCTTGTCTGCCACAAAACCTGTGCTGCCACTGGATTGCCACCTTGTCAAGGAACTGGCAAACAGAAGAAACATTTATCTTTTCAGAAGTGTTAGTATTTGATCATTTTTTATAGTTGAAATTTTATTAAAGTATACTTCAAAAGAATCACTGCCAGTGTAAATAATTTGCTTTGTGTATAGTTCTTAAATCCTTTAAAATAAAGGTGTGCAAATGTATAAGACCATGAGAATGACTATAGCAGTTTCTGTTGTGTATAGTTCTTAAATCCTTTAAAATAAAGGTGTGTAACTGTATGAGACCATGAGAATGACTATAGCAGTTTCAGTTGTGTATAGTTCTTAAATCCTTGAAAATAAAGGTGTGAAATGTATGAGACAGTGAGAATGACTATAGCAGTTTCTGTTGTATATAGTTCTTAAATCCTTGAAAATAAAGGTGTGCAAATGTATAATACAGTGAGAATGACTATAGCAGTTTCAGTTGTGTATAGTTCTTAAATCCTGTAAAACAAAGGTGTGCAACTGTATAAGACCATGAGAATGACTATAGCAGTTTCTGTAATTATTATTATTATGCTTCCAATTTTCTTTACTTTTTCCTTACATATATTTACCCTCAAACACCACTTCAGAGTGGATCGGATAACTCTACCTCTCTGGTTGAAGAGGGATGATTAGAGGTGTCTGGTAGTTGATAGGTTGTTTACTTCTGTACTTGTAGAAACATTTTGTCCTTTTGATAGCCCATTAGTCAAAGTTTGGGTAATGACTAAAGATTACAGAAACCAACCTGCAAGTTGTAACAACAAAAACAACTGTATTGAACTTCATTATACAATATGTGTGTTTGCTATAATTAAACATCATTACCTTTGCAGTTTACATCAAAAAGAGGTTTGCTCTAAACAGAATCAGATAAGGGAGAGCAATTTAATGTCAAAACATTTTCTCATATTCGTTCCTGTCTTGGAAAAGTCTCCTAATCTTCAAGTTAGTGACTTGTTGATATGGTTTATTATTGGTGAGGTTCACATATTGTTTGATATTTTTGCCAGTTGTAACACCTGGTTTAAAGAACTGAATGGGATGTTTTTTGGAGAATAACTCTTTTTTTTTCTGTGTTAAGGATATAGGGAACCCTAGCAGTTAGGGGGATTATTTGTGGTATTTTTTATTTAAACATTTTTATGTTACTCATGTTATTAGCAACCATGAACGTTGGGAACCCATGAGCAGTTTGATGCTTAAATAGTTTAGAAAAATGTGTTAAAATGTTATGGGTTCATTCATCAGCTGTGTTTGAGGTTAAAAGTCATGTTGGTTCTTCGGAAAATGTGTCAGTATCTTTTTTTTTTTGTTATTTTGGGAAGTGTCTTATCTATAAACTTTTCTAATGTAGCTGTGTAAGAATAAGAAAGGAGCAGACTTGGAACCTTTGATATGTGTCATTTATTCAGTAGTGTTGATTGTTTAATGATTATCTACTTTCAGGAAGGTTATATCTTAACAAGCCATGTATTACTGGATAATTTTTAACAGCACATCTGATTCGTGGTATGTCATTTGAAAGAGGATATTTAATAGTTTGTTAAAATAATGGTAACATTTTGGAAACACACTCAAAATAGTTATTGTCTAATGAACTTGGAATACTGGAAATTGAAATTTTGTTAAAATACAAGTACATCTAAAACTTATTTCTTTTTGTTCTCTAAACTTCTCAGCTAATGTGTTTGGTCAGGACCTCTCAGCCTCCTTCGATGCTGCCGAGTTACCAGCCCCCAAGGTAGTCTTGCTGTGTCTGCAAGAAATAGAAGCACAGGGACAACAGAACAAGAGTATGTGTTTGTTAGCTTCTAATATAAATCTGTTTTTTTTGTGTTGGTATGATTGTTTATTTGTAGTTAAGCACAAAGCTACACAATTTGCTATGTATACTGTGCTCAACGCAGGTACTGAAACCTGGTTTTTAGTGTTATAAGCCTTCAGACTTACTGCTGAACTACTTAATTAAACTATTGAAGTACAGAAAATAATCTCAAATCATGACAAAACTGTTACTTATATCTCTGGTCAGGAATATACTTTTTGGGCTGATACGGGTTTCACAGTAACCGAAAAACTCAGATCTAAGAAAGTTAGCTAGAAAAATGGATACCTTCAATTCAGAAAATTTCTATCATCTGTCTTTCATTACTAAGGTGAAGGTAATCAGTACATTATTTATATACAATGGCTGTTATTTCTGGCCAACCAGCTTGGATAATTGTCTTTATAAGTAGGAACACCATTTAAAAAATCCATGCATTAGTAAAATGGTACTTGCAAATTAAGGGAGAGAGAGTTCCACATGTACCCCCCCCCCCCCCAAACCACACACACACACACCTTTTGGCACTAGATATGAGGTCATTTATGGCAGTATTTTCACTTATGGTCTAATTGTTCTGTTTATTTTGTAGTGTCTTCACACTTCCAAGTTATAGATATATGTTTTGGAAGGGAAAGATTCTTATTTGGTAATACAAGTTATATAACAAGTCACAGAACTTTGTCATTGGTTTTACATGTTGTTCAGTTAATAAGAAAAATCTTTGATCTTCAACTTAAGTACTCAAAATATAGAAAAATCCTAGAATTTTGTGACACTTAATTGTGAATGTTTTGAGGGTAACATTGGGTGTACAAACTGTTTGGTAAAAGATATAAAGAGCAGTAATATAGGTTGTATCATCCTTGCTTTAACTGTATCTGTTTTGGTGAAAGAACAGTTGATTCCCAGACCAAGCATTTTGAACACTATAAAATGTGCCATTTATTCTGACAGCTGATGAAAATGGGGTCAAGTCTTAGCTCTCATAGCACAGTGTCCGGTGGTAAGGGGTTAACTCTTTCCCTAAGGGTACCCTTTTCAACACATTTCACAACATTTTTAGAGAATTACATTCAAAATTTAATTAAACTACTTTATCATCAATGTATACCAATGAACTTGGCATAAAACATAGTTAATAAATCAAATTTTAATATAAATTTTAAGTTCTTAATGCTATAAGGAAATATTTAAAACATCCCTAATCTCCCTTAGTACGAGATTTGTAATGTTTGCTCTCTAGGCATCCCCTCTACTCTTATTTATTTACCACCCTTTCCAGAAGTTCAGAATTTAATGTAAATTATCCATTTATGGAGTCATAAACTAGAAAATCAGACCCTCCCTCTTGCCATGCCCACCTGTAATATCCTCTCTTTCAGAAATTGCCAATAGTTCTCTGTGACGTTTAACACTGTATTATTTATAACCAATAGAAAGCCAGGGTTTTTATCTATCAAATGACTATTATAATTCGTTTTTTCCTGTACTTAGATTTGTCTATTTGCTTCCAGTTCAAACTTTACTCCCACAGGAAACACCTCAATGAGCTTAGTTGAATTTTTAACAGCTCTTATCGGATAATTAGAAAGCCAGAAAAATTATAGGACATTGTCTGCTTTTTGATTGTTATTTTTCTGTGTTTTTAGGTGTAGTGTTTAATTAAATAAAAAATATTTAGTGTAGTAGTACCATTAGTATAAAAAAGTAGGGTTAAGTGTCATCAACAATTGACAGCAAAAAATATACCCATATAAGTACTATATTTCTTGTTTTTCATGTGTATCATTTATTTATTATTATGAAAGTAACTAAAATGTAAAAATTAGAAACTTTTTAGGTTAAATGAGATAATGAAAACACAAACATTATTCACATGGTATGTTTGTGAGCAGCTTGTGCCTTATGAATTTGATGCAGTAACATGAGTTGCACGGTCACCAAGTGATTTACGACTTGTGTGGCAGGATTATTAGTTAGACACAGTTCAAATGTCAATAAAACAACAAAATTCAGTATAAACAGATGTATATATTGTTATGAGCTTTAAGCTTTTTATGATAAATACTTGTGGTTTGTGTTATAAGTTGCAGTTGTTCTAGAAAGGTAACGGATGGTTCTTGTAGCACCTCACCTATTGGTAAAAAATACTCGTCATATTCATAAGTAAATCCTTTATGAAACACTTTGATTTTATCTCTGTAAGAATTCTTTTTACACTTAAGTTTTTATTAATGTAAAAGTTTTTGCTACATCAGTATTGAGATGTTGAAAAATGAATAAATTAGAAATATTGTGATGTTCTAATAAGTGGTATAATCTTCTAAAGGGTAGGAGCAGCTGTTAATGTTGCCTTTCCTTTTTGTTGCTACATTTTGTTTTGATTTTTTTTATAATAGGTATTGATCTGTACAAAATATTTATGTCTTCTGCCTTGCCTGAAACAGTGAATGAAGTAAAACAGAAACTCAATAAAGGTATATTTTTTTTGTCAAATTGTAATGTACACTCATTAATAATGAGATTTAAATTTTTCTTCTAAAATGTGAAAGTCATTATATAGATACAACAGCCGTCAAATCAGCTTATACAATTTATTTCATCTCTATGAGCCATTTTGAATTACTGAAGCTCTTGGTAAATTTTCTTTTCCTGGCTGACATTATAATTAAATGTAATTAGAAAGTGTTAAACAATAATTCTAACATAAATTCAGAAGAATTTATTATACATACTGGTAGAATACTCTAGCTTGAAATGTTTTTTTAATTTTCCAGATACAGATAGTGTAGATCTTCAACATTATGAGCTGAACTGTATTGCTGGTGCCTTGAAGAAATATCTTCGTGAGTTGCCAAATCCTGTGATACCAGTAGAAACCTACGAAACGTTTTTGGAGGCGTCCAGTGAGTTGCTTTTTGTTTTTTGTGTCTGACACAAAAAAATGTTTCTTTACCAAAAATATCTGGTATTTTGTTTTCTCAGCCTCAAATCTAAAGGCAGTATTAATTAAAGTTAAGCATTATTACCTAATTGTTAAGCATTATTACCTAATTGATTATGTAAAAATTTGTATTTTTTTACATTTGAAGTTTTCTTGCATTTTGCTTTAGTTTTTGTCATTTTACCACACCGTATGTCATTTTACTTATTGTAAGAGCTTTAGGTTATCAATGATCATACAACAAATAAAGATATTTAATGTTGCTAGTTGGTTTATACTCTTCAGGGACAGTTTAAAATATGTTAAATACTTAACATGTGTTTTATTTTTTCAAAGTTTTATCTTGCTTTTCTAACAGTGCATACTCTCTTGAGTCTTAAAAGAGATAACTGGTGGAGTTAGAGGTTATTTTTATATATGGATAACAAAAAGTTGTTAAGATTGTGGAAGTGCCTTAACTTTTGTTTCCTTATTTCTCAGAAATAGGGAATGATGACCAGTGTGCTGTTTGTCTGAGTCAGTTAGTTCAACAACTTCCTGTCCACCACAGACTTACACTTCACACTTTAATGTCCTGCTTCTGCCGACTGTGTCAGTTACAGCACATGCGGGGTATCAAGGACTCGCCTACTGTTTTAGTCAAAGTGATGTGTCACATTTTACTTCGTCCACCTTGGGAACATATCATGTAAGTTTTACATATACAAGTGGGATTTAACATACCCCTTATTCTATTTTAAATATGCAGATTGCTTTAACTGTCAATCATATAAATGAAACAAAAATATGTCATTTATCATAGTTTATTTAATTTGTAATCCAAACATTTTAAATACTTTAAAATATGCCATTTATCATAGTTGATTTAATTTGTAATCCAAACATTTTAAATACTTTAAAATACACCATTTATCATAGTTGATTTGATTTGTAATCCAAACATTTTAAATACTTTAAAATACACCATTTATCATAGTTGATTTGATTTGTAATCCAAACATTTTAAATACTTTAAAATACACCATTTATCATAGTTGATTTAATTTGTAATCCAAACAATATAAATACTCTAAAATATGCCATTTAATTTTACAGCTTGTGAAAATGTTCAGAAACTTATTTCAGAAACACAATAACTCATCAGATATACACATCACTTACTAAGGATCAATCTCATAAAAGATGGGTTGTAACTTTTATAAAAACCTGATGCCACCAAATATTTTAGTTCTAATAAGTGGTATGTACTACAAGAAAACTAGTAGCAGGTGACAACTAGTCACTTCGACAAGATTTTAGTTCTAATAAGTGGTATGTACTACAAGAAAACTAGTAGCCGGTGACAACTAGTCACGTCGATAAGATTTTAGTTCTAATAAGTGGTATGTACTACAAGAAAACTAGTAGCCGGTGACAACTAGTCACGGGGATAAGATTTTAGTTCTAATAAGTGGTATGTACTACAAGAAAACTAGTAGCCGGTGACAACTAGTCACTTCGACAAGATTTTAGTTCTAATAAGTGGTATGTACTACAAGAAAACT